TTTCTGTTTCCGTAACTCTGCCTATTCCAGAATGTCATATAATTGGCGTCATGTAGGATGCTGGTTTTTAGATTGGCTCCCTTCACTTAGTGGTATGTATTTAAGCTTCCTTAATAGCTTTTCATTGCTGCTAGCTCATTTTCTTGTTCATACCAAATCATATTCCATTGTTTGGATGTACCATGGGTTATTTTCTATATTTTTTTGTGCCACAATTAGAAGATAGATATCATTTTATAAAAGAATTTACTTTTTTTTGCATTTAATTACTGTACATTTTTAGAGCATACGAAATGAACTTGCCCAGCATGATGAACTGTATCCAGTCAAAGACAGTATGACACACACTGTCTTCAGCTGATGATTTTCTATTTTTTGGTCTGTTAATTTTTTTTTTCTATCCCTCCCTTAATTCCCTCCATTCCACTTCCCCCTAGAAAAGGAAGTTTTTCTCTTTATTATGCCCTGGCACTGGTAGAGGGTAAGTGTCTTGAAAATTTTTTTACCTGATAATTGAACCAAAATTAAAACTCTCATTAATTTTAATTCTCACAGGAATTAAAGTAAATCAAAACAACTTCCACATATGATTTGGGAGCCACAGAAAGATAAGGGAGCATGGTATAGGCAGTTAACCCTTAGGCATCAAAAGATATTTTACATTTCTATTTTATAAAGGATATTTGTAGGGCAGGGATATCTTTTTTGGTACTACTAATTTCAGAGTAGTTGAATACAACAATGAAGTGTAAGTATATATTAAGAGTTGACTCTTGGGACCAGCTGTTGGCATAATGACTATGTCGCTGAACTCCCATGTAGTCAACAGTGGTTTTAGTCCTGGACCTGGTGGCTTAAACTCACGCCAGGGTGCATGTGCGTGTGTGCGTGTGTGCCCAAGATCCCGAGAGGAGAATGGAGGAGAAGGGATTGCAGCATGACCATCCCCCCGGGGGGTGATTTCTTGCTTTCTGTCTCTCTGTCTCTCTCTGACTCTCTGAAGAGCGCATGTGTCCTATAGCAAAAAAATCTCTCTCTCAAAAAAAAAATGTTGACTCTTGTCATTGCATCATCCTGAATATTAAGGTCTCACTTCTCCATGTTCTAGAGTAGTCATATATGTCTGGAAAGTTAATACTCTTTTCTTGAACCAGTCTCAAAGGCTGAAAAGTGGGGCCAAATGTTGCTTGGAGAAGTTCTCATGAGAAGAGGTGTAAAGAAGGTCCAACATAATGTTGTTAGAATATCTGGAGATTTGCATAGACTAACTCTTACAATTTAATTTGATTTTAAATTATGTTTACTTTTATTCTTATTCTGTTTTAGGTAGGTTCTCTAGTAGCAGACCTTAAAACAGGAATATGGGGGCCTGTGGTTATTGACATGTGCTCTTTAGGAAATCCTTTAATGAAGGGACTGAGGCAAGCAAGGGAAGCGAGGGGAGAAAGAACATGAAGTGTAAGACGCTGAACTCCCATGTAGTCAACAGTGGTTTTAGTCCTGGACCTGGTGGCTTAAACTCACGCCAGGGTGCATGTGCGTGTGTGCGTGTGTGCCCAAGATCCCGAGAGGAGAATGGAGGAGAAGGGATTGCAGCATGACCATCCCCCCGGGGGGTGATTTCTTGCTTTCTGTCTCTCTGTCTCTCTCTGACTCTCTGAAGAGCGCATGTGTCCTATAGCAAAAAAATCTCTCTCTCAAAAAAAAAATGTTGACTCTTGTCATTGCATCATCCTGAATATTAAGGTCTCACTTCTCCATGTTCTAGAGTAGTCATATATGTCTGGAAAGTTAATACTCTTTTCTTGAACCAGTCTCAAAGGCTGAAAAGTGGGGCCAAATGTTGCTTGGAGAAGTTCTCATGAGAAGAGGTGTAAAGAAGGTCCAACATAATGTTGTTAGAATATCTGGAGATTTGCATAGACTAACTCTTACAATTTAATTTGATTTTAAATTATGTTTACTTTTATTCTTATTCTGTTTTAGGTAGGTTCTCTAGTAGCAGACCTTAAAACAGGAATATGGGGGCCTGTGGTTATTGACATGTGCTCTTTAGGAAATCCTTTAATGAAGGGACTGAGGCAAGCAAGGGAAGCGAGGGGAGAAAGAACATGAAGTGTAAGAGGTCAGGTGAAGTCTGCCCTGGATCTGATGCATGGAGGCAGGGTACACGGTGGGTTGGGAACGCGGAACGCTGGAGCATTAACTGCACAGAGGCAAGGGGGTTGACCTTCTGTACTCCAGAATCACCACCTGAGGCTGTGGCTAGAGAGGATGCAGGGAGGACAAGTCAGTTGTACTGCAGAGGGAGATTTCTACCTAAGAGGGCAGCCATGAGCTCTGAACTGCCGACACACAGGGATTCCACCCTTCTTCCCACAGTAAGCTTAGAGCAAGGAACTTTGACTTAGTAATGGTCTTCCCAAATACCACAACCGAGAAAATTTGCTGAAGCACTGCTAAGAATGTAGAAATTTAGGAACTATTGCAGCAGATTCTGACTTTACCTTTCTTTGGACACTGGTTGTATTTCCTCTGAGACAATAAAGTTAGAAATGATTTAATGGGATAGAGATGGAATTTCTCCATTGATTTATGTTATAACTTATGGCACCTCGTAGTTTATCACTAGTTGCTTTAGCTTCGATTACGGCTTCTGTCAGACCACAGATCATCACGGGCCTGAGGTTGGAATGCCTGGAAGTGACAGTTCTATGATAAGAACTCATTCTAAATCAAAAGCAGGATCAAGTTCAATTTCTCTGGCACTGGGCTTTTAAAATGCTCCGAAGAACAGTAGTGTTAGGAGTTGGGTTCTCTGACTTTGTGAATTTTCCTTCTAGCAAGGAGCTCTGACTTTTCGTGAAGTCTTGGTGTGGGTTTTACCATATCTAAAAGAGAACTTATTGGTTTAGCTGCGATACAGCCAGTTTCTGGGAGCCCCTTTATTCATAATTAGCTGTGAAATTTTTCCCATGTAAAATTTGGATCATACCAACAATTAAACAATGGTTAATAATCTACTTCTTAAAAAAGATAGGTCTGGAAAAACATGTTTTTTTGGAAATTCCCTCAATTTAATTAATTTAATTTTAATTTTATTATTTTTTTTGGTCATAGGGTACGTGCACATGCCAGAGAGACAGAGAGATCCAGGGAGAGGGAAAATGAGAAATCATTCCTCCAGGGGACTGGTCATGCTTCAATTCCTCCTCTTCCCTTCTCCTCCTAGAATTTTAGGCATTGTGTACCTGGCCTAATTTACAAGCTGCCGGGTCCGGGACTCAAACTGTGGTTGGCCATGTGGGAGTCCAGTGCCTTAACCACTATACTACCTTCTGGCTCCCTACTTCTTTTCATTTTTAAGACTCTAAGTTTATTTCTTTTTCTGTTTCAATGCTCCAGGTTATCTTTCTCCTTCCTTCCTCCCTCCCTTCCTTCCTTTCTCTCTCTCTCTTTCTCTCCCCACCCCCCCTTTCTTTCTTTCTTTGGCTTCGGTTGATAGTTTATTAAATACACTACATTTGTACCATAGTCTGTGGTTTTAAATCAGTCACACATGGACTTAGTAAAAACATACTTTATAGAATCACCTGGAAAACGAAAATGAAAAATAAGAGCACACATATTGCACACATATTCGGTAAACTGCCCAAATGTGAGGAATTGTTTTAATTTAATCAGCACAGGTGCTTAATGAGGAGATCATAAAATATTAGGTGGTCCGATTTTCTCAAATCTGACACCGGACCACGACTTCAAAAGTGTTAATGTGAAATGAGGATGCAAAAATGTCTTCTAACAAAACTGTTTAATACTGTTTGAGAATAAGGACAAATGATTAGTTTCCTTTTACAGAGCTTTTTAAAATCCATTCTCTATGCAAACCCTCTCCCATTCAGAGAACTACCTGTGCACACTGATGAGGCAAACATCAATTCCTTTGGAACACACACACACACACACACACACACACATGCCTATTTACAAAACACTCAGAAGGAGATTATACATCTGTCTTACTGAAGAACTGGTTAAAAGTGAATACAACAGAGTGACAGAATATACCTTTATGTCCACAAATACAGATCTCCCCACTCTACTTTCCGAAGAAATGCATTTTCAGAGCATTGGATTATAAAAATGGCATCAAATATGAAAACAGAAACAAAGTTCTCAAATCCTTTATGTTTTCAGCTGTTGGACCAGTTTGAGAGCGAAACTAAAGCCATGCATTTGGCAGCCAGAAGGCCCCTGTGATTCAATACCAGCATTTCTCTTTCAGCAGGGCCTTGGTTCTCCTCCGGAGGTGGTAGGCATCAGTTGATCTGTCCTCTTAATGAAGCCACATCTACAACAGCCATGTCATCTGAGGATCGTACCTATGTTTGAAAAGCCATAGCTGACGTTGTCATGCTGAGGATTAGAAGTGGCGGTCTGCAGACCCACTATGCCACACGTGCTAGGATCATTTCTGGCCAGCTGTCCTTTTTGGCCAATAGCATTTTCGATCTGGGCTCTTGTTTTAGCCTGTCAACTGCACGGATTTCTTCATTTTGAAGGAATGAATGGAGGAGGTCTAAATCCAGAAAATCTTGTGGCCTTTCACTGAGTGTATAGTACACGAAGTGGTGTCTGTGGTGCCAGAGGTTTAAAGGGAGTTGACTCAGGTCAGGATCTGGTCTTGAAACTGACAGGTGTCCATGATTCCGGTACGACCGCCCTCTCTGGAAGGGCGTCACCGCAGCAGCAATTGGAATCCCTTGGAATCTTCGCTCTGGTGCAGCCTGCGGAGGCGCTACTTTTTTCTGGAACCCCCATGGCTAACTGATGCCTCCGGGGTGTTCCATTCCTTGTTGGCTTGGACGGATTTCCACCATCTCAGTGCATGGGAGAAGGACTGGCTGCCCCACTCTCCCAATGCCTACCGACCACGCCTTGGCGACTTGGCACCACCTGCTTCTGTGCACCCCTTCCTTGGTGCGCATGTGCGGGGTTCTTCGAGCTGCCGTTATCCCTCTGCGCTAGCTGGAGTCCTCCGGGAGGGCCGTCGCAGTCCTGTAGGCTCCCTGGCTGGGTTCAGGTGGGTGCTCTCAGAGGCGGCTGGCTGAGCCCATGGAGGTGCTGGGCCCGGGCCACTTCTTTCAATGCTCCAGGTTCTTTGGTTATTTACATTTATTTGTTTAAGAGGTTTTTTCTATAGGGCGCGCTTGCAGGAAAAACAAAGAGCCAAAGAGGGACAGAAGGCGAGAAGTGCCCCCTAATCCCTTCTCCTCCAATCTCCTCTTCGGATTTGGGCAGGCACGCACACCCACCTAGTGTTTCAAGCTGCCAGGTAGCACTGGGACTGCCTGCCGTGGGGGAGTCGGTGATGTGACCGTGCCCTCTGCCGGTCCAGCTCCAGATTCTTAGAGAGCCTTTCCATGTATCGGAAGATTCATTGGTTTCCTTCTCATCTGTTTAAAGTCTGCAAAGTGTGATACTATTACGCATATAAATAACTAATGTTTATTTTCCAGAGGGTATGTGTGCTTGTTGGAGAGAGAGACAGAGAGAGAGGAGAGAAAAAGAGGGTAAGAGAGAGAAGGAAGAGAGAAGGTGCACCCTTTGGGGAATGATCGCACCACCATCCCTTTTCCATCTCTCTTCCCTTCAGAATTTTGGGCCTGCATGCACACATGCTCGACATGTTTCTCAATCCACCAGGTCTGGACTGAAACCGCACAGTCGAGCATGTGGAATCTATTCATCTTCGCAACCACACCATGGGCTGGCTGTCTTAGTCCATATTTAAGGTGCATTAATTGGACACCAATTATGTTTAAAATAATTTAAAATGATTCAAAATATAACCACATCATGGAATGTTTAGACATTAGGAAAATGCCTGGTCATCTTACTGTCCATATCATTTTGTTATTGCCTTTTTCTCCAAGCTTAGTTTATTCTCCAGAGTTGTGAATACAATTTGTACAACTTGGGGCCAGCAGGTCACCACCTGCTGCTTAAGGCACAGGATTCCCATACAGCTGACCATGGTTCAAGTCCTGCATCCAGAGGCTTGAAAATCACAATGGGTGTGTGTGTGTGTGTGTGTGTGTGTGCCCAAAATCCTGAAAGGGGAATGGAGGAGAAGGGACTGTGGCATGGCCGTCCCCTCTGGGGTGCGTGATCTTGAATTCTCCCTCTCTCAGTCTCTCTGGTGCTCATGTGCATCTCTCTCTGGCAATCACGTGGCAATCACCAAAAAATACTTTGCTTACCTTTACAACCTGATTCAATGCTTATCTTGAGATCATCCCATGTAGTATCTATAATAACTATTTTCAAAATATTAACTTCTTTTCTTTTTTTTTTTGGAGAGGTTTTTTGCTATAGGGTGTGTGCGCGCACCAGAAAGACAGAGAAAGAGACAGAGAGATAGGAATTGAGAAATCACCCCCCAGGGGAGATGGCCACGCCGCAATCCCTTCTCCTCCGTTCCCCTCTCGGGATCTTGGGTACACATGCACACGTGCTGGTGTGAGTTTAAGCCACCGGGTCTGGGACTTGAACCACGGTCGACTACATGGGAGTCCAGTGACATAGCCATTTTGCTAACTGCTCGTCCCCGAAATATTAACTTTTGAATAGAAACATCATGTATTCACTAGACAAAATGAAAAAGATTGAAACGGCCAATCCCAGTATCACTAATCACTGATTCCCTTGTTCCCCATCCCTGGCCCCAGGGCTCGCAGTCTGGACCTCATCCCTGAGTGTGGTTGGCAAAGGACATGGTTCTGATGACCACTCGTGGGCCCTGCTGGAGCTGGGGTCTGGTCAGGTACCTCAGGGAAAGCACTGCGTTTGAACATACATCATTTTTGAAGGCTATATTTGAACATATATCATTTGGCAACTTTATTTTCTGTCCCCTCCTGTTGTGTTTTTTCCTTAGCGCTTGTTGGAAAAGGCCCATTCATAATCGATCTGTTCTTACCATGTCTGTTATATCAGATGCTGGGCCTTCTCATTGGTTCATTTTTTTTATTTTTAAGTTAGAATTCCTAGGTAGAGGAGTACAGTAGTTTTTTTTTTTTTTTTTTTTTTTGAGAGGTTTTTGCCATAGGGCGCGTGCACTCACCAGGCAGACAGAGAGAGACAGAAAGACAGAAAGAGAGAAATCACCCCCCAGGGGGGATGGCCACGCCGCAATCCCTCCTCCTCCATTCTCCTTTCGGGATCTTGGGCACGCACACACACGCGCCCGGTGTGAGTTTTAAGCCACCGGGTCCGGGACACGAACCGCGGTCGACTACATGGGAGTCCAGCGACATAGCCATTACGCTAACTGCTGGTTCCCTCATTTATTTTTTCTGTCCAAATCTTTTTTGACAGGTATACAATGGTAATCAACTCGTTATCTATTTAAAAATAAGCTATACAGTAGGCCTCCCTTATCTGTAAGGGATACATTCCAAGACCCCTAGTGGATGTCTCCAACCACAAGTAGTACCCACATACACATGATAGAGTTTAATGAATAAAGCAGGCACAGTAAGAAAGGGGCAGCACTAGCCAATGACAAGGTAGAACAATTACAGCTCTACGCTGTAATACTAGCTACATGGACGCTGTCACTTTCCCTCTCTTTATGTGTATCTTACTGGACCGTGCTTATCCTTCTTGTGATGACATGAGATGGTCAACTGCCTACTGAGAGGAGTGACACAAATGACGTCGGCATCGTAATGTAGCATTAGACTTCTACTGGCCCTCTGACAGGCCATCAGAAGGGATGATCTGCCCCAGGAGACCCTCAGCATCCTGGATCGTTGAGGCATGAATTTCACGCCTTGGTCAAGTGCAGATACTGAAACTGCAGAAATGGAGCTCTGGTGCACCTGTTGTATTCAGTACAGCCTGCCATGATCACGTTGCCCTTCCCTTCTCTTTCTCTCGGAAGAGAAAATAACACAAATATTCCATGAAAACTTTCTCACACGTGAACTCATATCTGGGTCTTCTTATATTCCAATGTGAGATTCTTAAAATGAGAATTTTAGAAATCTCATAAACAAATGGTCACATGACTTTTCTTTTACTTGTGGTGTTTATGTTAAAGAATTTGTAAAAGGTATCTACAAAGAAAAGATTTCCATCATTATGCACTTGGTAAAATATTTCCAATTCATTAATGCTTTTAAAACGTAAATATATATTCTATGTGTAAATAATTATCACACAATTTATATCATTTTATTTTGATAGCATTAACAATCGTTTTGGCTTAGTCGCATCCTGACGTAAGTCATTTCCTTACTATACTCTCTTCCTCCATCTCATTTTCTCTCTTCTTGAGTTCTTTATTTCAGTCCAATTCGGATTTACCTAGAATATGTTTCCAAGTAAATTTTGGTTTTTCTATTTTTTTTTTAATGTGGTCTCTATGAGAATACCCTATTTCCTTTCTCTGTGGAACATTCACTCTTGTTAAAGAATTTCTAAAGTCTGACATGTTCATTCCTCATACTCTGTGGTGCTGTTTCATGGCATTATTACAAATAAGACAGCTCGGTCTGGAGCTAGTTCAACATATTTTTCTTTTGATTTTCTGCTTATGAGATTCTTTTTTCAGATACGATGCTAACATTTTTTCATCAGGGTACATTACATTTTATCTACATTCATTAATTTTGTTTCTGTAAAGGTATGAGTCGCTTTAGAAATGCAGATGGTAGCCTTCATCTGAGGGGTGTGTGTGTGTGTGCGTATGTGCGTGTGTGTGTGTGTGCACGCGTGCTTAATCATGCATTTGAATGTTGCAACTGTTCCATTTTTTTTTTTAATAATGTTAAATAGTTACTTCTGTCTTCTCTGCTGATGTATTTCTATTATATTTTTCATCCTTGTCCTATCTCAGTGCATTCTGGTAGTTTTATAAATGGGATACGTTCATATATTAGATGAAGTCTTCTGGTGTGTTTCTGCTTCTACAGTGTTGCTTTATCTATGATCGTTCTTTTAACATTGTTTTCTATGCTTTATTCAAGTTCCATTTTATCCGAGGTATTTTATCATGGAATCCATTTTCACCTTATTTTAAATACTTCATGCCTTATAGAAGCATACTAGGACTGCAGTGCTATGTCGTGAGTTACGTCTGTTTTCCCAGAAGTATCAGTAACAAGCTATATTCTTTCCCACTTCAACTGCAGACAATAACATCCGGGCCCAGTGCTGTGTTTTGTTAGTGCATCAGTCCAGGTTCATACTTGTCACACACAGAGTCAGGGGCTTTGTTTGTGCCCCCTCCCTTTCTACAGGGTATTATTAGAATTGTTTTCTTGTGTGTCTTGTAGAAGAAATTGTTGATGAGAGGTAACAGTATCAGCTCTGTGATCCAGCGGCTGGGAGAAGGGCATTCCAGATCAACGGCCTTTCATTTCCATGCAGTTCGCTCTGCGTGAGTGACGTTTTGGCAGAGGCCAGCTCTCCAGAGCTAGCAATTTACCGAGCCTTCGCTCTCAGTGATGAGAGAGGGCGTTGTGAGTTCTGCTTCTCCATGTTGGCACAGCCCAGCACGTCAGGGAAAGCCCCCCTCCCACCCCCGTTGTACCTGTTTTTATTCATGAGTTTTATGTACCTTGGAATACAGCAGTTGGCAAGAGGTTTTCAAATGTCTTCTATCTGTCCCATATTCTGTCTGTTCTTCTAGGATTTGTCCTTTAAATTCATCGTGTGCAAAGATTTACCGAATCTTTTGGACTTCAGGTGGTACTTCTTCAAAGACAATGGCTAGTAATCGTTGTCACCTTTGTGTTCTGTGCTGCTACGGGATCCCCTATCTTATCATTATCTGGGCATTTCAGTAGGGAGTTGAGGAAACCAGTGATGAGATCCTGGACTAATGTCAAATCTAGAAGTCTAACATTCTTAATATCTATATAAAATATTGTCATTTGGAGGTTCTTAATATTTTTCCATTGTTTGTATTTTTAGATTAAGTTTACTATTTGTCCAAGTCACTTTTTTCTAGTATATAATTTATCTTATTTCCTTTTTAGAGAGAATTTTGCTGTAGGGATAATGCTCATCAGA